CCTTAAAGAAAAGTATTTCAAACAAAAATGTTAACATAGCTACAAATAAATGGAAGATAATGCTCGCCAGCTTCTGCTAGCTCCCGTTCCTCTGTACCAACATTAGCTATTCTGGGTGAAGTGTTACTTTAAAACCAGCAGCTTTAGCATGGTTCCACTGCTCTCGCAGACAAGATAAGTAGATGGGCTTTGAACACCAAATGTGTTTCCTGCTCAGATCTGAGACAACAGGAGCAAAGCGCCTTCAGGAGCAGCGCTCCCCTCCGATTTCAGCAGTGCCAGCTGACTAGCATGCACAGCATGGCTCCCGCTAATCCTTCACAGGGCTCATCTCTAAGCTAACAGGTACAGCGCCATGCCTGGTCAGATGAGGGGTTTTACTTTACTGGCCTGACTGATATCACGTAGATTTGAACCATCTCCTGAGGGCCATTCCGCAGTACTCCAATCAGGCTGTGGCAGGCCCACGCTAATTGCATCATCAAAGAGGAAGGAGCAACCCTCCTCTGCAAGCCTGGCTAGCTTGTGTCCACGGTAAGGACCCCTTCTCAGCAGGTATCACATTAACAAATTGATCTGACCTCTGCAACGGAACGGATACGTGCGGCAGACACTTTGATGCATAAAAATCCATTCATGCGCCATGCTTTAATCCATTCTCCATTCCCCCCTGAGATGGCCATGCAAAACTACAGCCATTAATATGTATGAGGCGAGGCGGAAATGTACACATCTTTGATAGAGAGTGGGGGGCTCTCGCTTTGCGCAAAGTTGCGCGGTGTCAAAAACAAGTCAGATCCATTGAGGATAAGAATACCCACAGATAGATTGGCAATACAGCGGGCAATATCTTCTGAATCACTAAGGGAAGAATGCAAACACAGAGTCTGCATATCACATCGGAGGCAGAGTTGCTGAGCACAGATTTAAGCTCAGAAGCCGGAAATAAGACTGATGATTTGTAACTGATATGTTGAGAGTCGGAAAAAGCGACAGTATCAGTGTTACAGTGGTGTTAGCTGATAATTGCATCCAGCCACCTTATCAGCTTCGGTGGGGGCTTCGGATTTAGCGCCGATGTGATTACGCATTCATTTGCGCGGGTCTCAGATGAGGCCATGCTTCTTCCGCCGGTTGTAGAACTGGATGTAAATTTGCAGACAGCTTGTTATTTTCAAATTCATAGCAAATACGTTACACAGACGTGAAATATGTATAAATCATGCATATTGGTATAATATAATGGTTGAATAATAAAACAATATTAAATGATACATCTTGGTATCAGTAACAGTATTTGAAGTAGCAAACATTAATATAAATCACTTGCACTGGCCTACAATTCAAATCAGTGCATACTAGGGATGCACCAATCATGGCGTGATGCAGATATTCAATATTTTCCATGTATATATATATATATATATATATATATATATATATATATATATATATATATATACAGCATTGGGCAAAAGTCAGTGTCTACCCTTCATTTATTTAGTTTCCAGTCAAAATGGCCTCTACATAGATAATCCACTTGCACAAGGAAGGAAAATAATTGGGGGAAAAATGGAGTTTCAAAAAATTATTAAAGATACAGAGAAAATGGGACTCCTAACAACCACCTGCAAAACATGGTAGACCACAAAAACTGTTTTTTTTTTCAACATTTGCAAGCTTCTGGTGATCTCAGAATGATGGACTGACCATCCAGACCTCAACATCACTGTGAGATTTCTTGTGTTGCGAGAAGCAGAAAGTGCAACCATCGTCCAAGCCTGAACTTTGGAGGTGTGGAAGAATATCCCAGCAGATTTCTTTGAAAAATTGAAAGTGAGCCTCCTGAAAAGAATGGACGTGCAAAGTGTGGACACAGAAAACGCAGAAAAATGACATATCATATTTAGTTGTTGAGGCTTCTGTGGAATATTCTCTAAAATGTCCTGTCTGCTTTTTCCTGACTCTGGAAAATGACTGGAAATTCAATAAATGAGGAGAAGTCTCTGACTTTTGCACAGTACTGTATCTGCTGAAGCCACACATACATATTAATTAAACACAGATCTACCTGGATTAGCATCACAGAGAAGTGTAATGTGTATTTCTATGTGGTTACAAATGCAGTAAAATGAATACAATACAGAGATCTTGGCAGTGTAGCCCACTGTCACCTAGTTGTTCTATAAAAAATGTTATTAAATAACGGTTTTAAATATCAGCCAAATATAAATATCTGTCCAAAGCTGATTGTTTTAAGCAATTATCTTCCTATACTGACATGTATCCAAAATCATTGTCCACCCTTAATGCATGCATAGTTAAATATTATCCATACATCACACTTCATTTTTTATGTAGCATTCAAAACATGAGCATTCAGTGAGGATCGCATTACAGGTGCAGCATCGCTCACAGAAATGCAAACACAAACTCAACACATTATTGTCTGCCATGCAAACAGTGGAAATGCATTTGTAGTTTACAGAGGGAGAGACTGGGTGGTCAGTGTTTTCCTATCCCCCAAAATGTCACCGCATGCACAACACTGGGTGGGTTTCAGCTGCTTGTTGGAGAAGTATTTTTTTTCAAGCACTAAATGGCCAGAGGCGTCCTCATCAGATCTGTGTGGAGCTCAGTACGCTGTTGTCTTTGGACACTGCTGAGCTACAGCTACACTGCCGAGCTACAGCTACACTGCCATCCAGAGGGCAAAGAAGGTTAATGCTCTAATTCTGGTCATCTGCTGAAGCTGGACACCGCAGTGCTGCCAAGCGAGCATGTTTGAGGCACGGTGGGGGATCCAGAATTTTTAGGCTGTACTGTAGCATTGTGCACTTGCTGGCCATTTTATTAGGTACATCCACCTTGTATCTACATTCATGGTCTATTTTACCAGGTCTACTCACCATATTCACTATATTGACAAAAGTATGTGGACAACCCTCCTAATTAGGTGTTTCAGCCAGGTGTAGAAGATCAAACACACAGGCATGCAATCTCCATAGACAAGCACTGCCAGTAGAATGGGTTGTACTAAAGAGCTCAGTGACTTTAAACGCAGCACTGTCATAGGATGCCACATTTGGCACAAGCCAGTTTGTGAAATTTCTGCCCTGCTCAATCTGCCCCAGTCAAATGTAAGTGCTATTATTGCAAAATGGAAGCATCTGGGAACAACAATAGCTCAGTGAACTGCTGTGTAGTGCATAGAAATCACCTATCCTTTGTTTCATCACTCACTACTAGTTTCAAACTGCCTCTGGAAGCAACATCAGCACATCACCTGTGTGTTTGGAGCTTCATGAAATGGGTTTCCATGGCCAAACAGCTGCGCACAAGCCTAAGATGCGTAATGCCAAGCGTCGGCTGGAGGGGTGTAAAACATGGCACCACTGGACTCACCGGAAATGTGTTCTCTAGAGTGATGAATCATGCTTCACTATCTGGCATGCTGATAAATGAATCTCGGTTTGGTGGATGCCTAAAGAACTCTACCTACCAGAATGCACAGTGTCAACAGTAAAGTTTGGCTGAGGAGTGATAATGATATGGGGCTGCTTTTCAGGGTTTGGGCCCCTTAGTCCCAGTGAAGGGTAATGTTAATATTAACGTTACAGAACACAGACATTTTAGACAATTATACACTTCCAACTTTCCTGTTTCAGCATGACTGTGTCCCTGTACACAAAGTGAGGTCCATAAAGGCATAGCTTGAAGTGTGGAGGAACTCCTGTGGCCTGCATAGCGCCCGGACCTCAACCTCACCAAACCCCTTTAAGATGAATTGGAACATCGATTGTGAGCCAGGCCTTCTCTTCTAAGATCAATTCAACTTACAAATACTCTTTTGACTGAATGGGCATAAATTCCCTCAGACACTCTCCAAAATCATGTGGAAAGCCTTACGTGAAGAGTGGAGGCTGTTATAGCTGAACAGGGGGCCAACATATCAATGTCCATGGTTTTGGAATGGGTGTAAGTGTGAAGGTCAGGTGTCCTCATACTTTTGGCCATATAGTGTAGGTGCATTTTGTAGGTCTACAGTTACAGATTGTAGTCCATCTGTTTCTTCGAATAATTTGCTAGTCCTCACCCTTTACCCCATTCATCAATGACCACAGGACCACCACTGAGCAGCTTTTGTGTGTGCACTGCAAAGTGGTACTGACCATTGATGAACAGAGGTTTAACATATTATGCAGAGAAACAGATGGACTACAATCTGTAACTACCCTTCATTTCTTTTATTTCCAGTCAAAACAGCCATTAAGTACAATCAAGTCCATTTTCAGGGGGTCTTATTGAAGAGATTAGATGATCCACTTGCAAACAGAAGTGCAAACTCAAATGAAAATAAGTGAAAAAACAGGGAGTTCAAAATATTAAAAGCTAAAGGGAAAATGAGATGACCACCTGCAAGACCTGGTAGACACCACAACTATCCCCATCAGATAAACAGCACTTACAGCTTTCATCTTTGAGAGAGAGGAGAAAATCAAGGTGGGTGTAAAATAGGCCTGCAGATTGCTTTGAAAACTGAACCCAGGTCTTCTGAAAAGAAGGGTGATCACACTAAATACTGATTGGTATCTCTCGCACTCTGATACCATTGCTCTGAATAATGCAGGAGAAAACTGTGTAAAAGATACGTGCTCACATGAGTAGAGACAGATTTGTGTGAATGTTTGCAAAACATCAAGAGACAGTTGTTGATTAAACATGGAAACAAATGTTCAGAAACTATTTTAGGGAGTGTAGAAACGTAGATAAGTGTGCTAACTGCTTTGGTACAGGCTACGCCGAGGTGTGAGAGTGAAGTGTGAACAGTCTTTCAATGTAAAAGAGAAAAAAAGAAGGAAAAGAAAGAACACAGCATGTGTCATTTGAATGCGCAATCAGTCTATACAGGAGAATCTGGGCAGCCAGGTTAAAAACTCAGAAGTGCCACAGCTCCCCCTAGTGGCAACGGCTAGGAAACAAACCACAGCATCACATAGTTCTCTTCTCAACCTCTTCTTTATTCAACAATTATGCCTACTAACCAGACTCCACCACGAAAGACATTACAATAAATAGAGAAGTTGCTGTACACATCATTTTTCGCCAGCAATAAAAGCTGTTCCATGTACGCAGTATTTACACTCTTCCAGGTATTTAAAAAAAATGAACATGGTTTACATTTTAGGCACATTTGTGTATCCTCTTGAAAACATGAGAATTGCAGAGATCGTAACACAAATATTTAACAGACAGCTGGAATTGCCCCCCACCCCACCCCCCAAAACAGGGGTGTTTCAGTCTCCATAAAAGCTGTATTAGATAAGAGCTGGTGAAATGAGTCGTCTCTGCCAAACCTACAAAAGCCCTGCGTCAGAGCCTGGGAACGTTCCAGATATGAGTGGCCAGCGTATCTGTTCCAAAAATATAGCAGGTTCTAGCAACATTTAATATACTCCGTTAATACTATTCAATACATATACAATACTTTACAATCTTAAAATACTTAATATTACCATCATTTTATGTTACATGGTTCATAGTAACTGTTACAGGCTGTGCACTACAGGTCCTATATACATGCCCATGGAATCGACTGTCGCCAATACAGACGGTCAGTCATCCACAGTTTGCAGTCTCCTCTGAAAGACACAATTCCACCGATTTCAAAAGTTCTGCATAATTCAAATATTAAAAAAGTCATTGAGTGGTTTGATGTGGAATGTGCCACTGTGGAGAAGTCAGTATTGTTCACAGTGGTGACATGAACCAGACGTCCGAAGCATTTAGTGCCTCTTAAAGAGCAAATATGATGGAAAACCAATTTTAGTTTGATGTGGTCTGTAAACTTACAAGTCTCAAAACATACTGGTCACTACAGTCCACATATGGAAGCCAATGTGCAAAAACAGCCTGTTTTGAAAGCAATCCATTAACCTATATCCACCTATTCAGTCTATAACAGCAGCCCTGTTCATTCATGCTGGAGTGCCTCAGCCTGGACTGCTTTTTGCATGAGGTATAATAAAGGACAGCCAATCAGAACAGAGGTCATTTACATGGTTACATTTACATCACAGGTAGTTATAAAAAACAGCCTGTTTAATTCTAAGGGATAAAGCGAGGTTGAAAAACGGTCACTTAGAGATGAATAATAACTACTTTTGGTTCTTAATCCCACAAAAATGATGTAAGTGGACCCCAGGGGGAAAAAATAAAATACAAGGAAAACGTAAAATATGGTGCACTTAAAGGTACCTGTACCTCACAGGAAGATGCTGCATAAAATGATTATGAATACATAGCACGCTGCCTGAGATGCTGTTTCACAACAGTTTTGAGATAATGTTTTGGCCTAAAATGAACTCTGAACAACCATTCACGGCAGAGAGGTACATGGAAGAAGTTGTATGGCAAAATGTTATCCAAAGAAAACTTTTTTTGGATTTACCACTAAAAGCTTGTTCTGGATAGTAAATAAAATGGCTATACTTGTGTTGTAGACATTGCGACCCCTGGTTCCTATCACCACCACTGTTAAAAAAAAATAATAATTAATAGGTTTCTCTACAGTGCACCATTTCACATCAAAGCACTCTGAATGACTGTTTACATCTCAACAACTGAATTATGCAAAAATGTTGAGAAAAAAAAATTGATGAAATTCCCCTTTAAACTCACAGACGGGACGCTGAGAGTTCTACTCTGCCGTCTCGCATGACGGGCATCAACAGCTGAAGGTGGCGACGAGAGAACAACAGAGAAAAAGCAACAGTGCCAATAGTAATGACAACCGTGAGCTGCTCTGACACGTAGGTGAGAGAAGGCTGTGACATGCTGGGTTGGAACACTAGAAATAGAAATACAACAGCCAGATGGAAAAAGGGCTTTCATTCACAGTACCGTATCATAGTGAGCCGTGGGTGCTCGAAACACAATAAATACCTCTGTGGTACTTAATATCAACAATTGTAAAAATAGACACTGCTCTATAGGGGAATGTTAAGTGTAAGAATGTATATTTTATACGTTCAAATGTATGGAAATCATTGGTCAAAAAGAAAAGGAAAATAAAAAAGGTTTGCAAGCGTTGTACCAACAAGGTCCGTGTACACATGGAATGCATCTGCAAGTGCCCTTAAAAGAAATCAATACGCTTTTCAATTTTAGGGATTAATCCCTGAAAAAGAATGAGTATGGCTACCAGCAAATTCAGACTTGAGACTCAGAACCTCAAAAAAATGAGGTAGCTTGCGATACACTTTAATGGAGGTGAGTGTGCAAAGATTTTCAATGAACACAACCATCACTTTCCTTCAAAAGTATAAAAACAATATTAAAAAAAAACTCTCTAAGCAAGAACATAAAAGTACCAAACGGTGAAAACTACCCAGCGTTAGACAAGATCATTAAACAGCTCTGCTTTATAAACCAGTTAAATAAACAGTGACTTGCAAGGTGAAGCAAAAATGCCAGAACTACTGCATAGAAACCTGATCTGCCTAAATGCTTCGTCAACATCAACAATCCTTGAGATTCTTTTATTGACCTTAACTGACCTGCTGCTCACAGTAACTATGTCAGGCTCAGCAATTCTATTAGCACCAAGTGTCTGACCTGCTGTGAAGTTCAAATAACAATGTAACTATCGATGAAGCTTGATTGATGTCGAGGGAAAGACTAGAATGACGTCCAAAACTGCACAAACCCCTCAGCGTTAAAATTCTATGTATTGTCACAAAAAATTTCTCAAGTTAATAAATAATAAATAAATTCTTAGTCGCTCTTCACTGGATATGTAGCTTTAAGGCTTGGTAACAGAAAGTCCCAGTAACTAAGATGAAGATTCAACGCAATCTCACTGATCATGGTAATATCATGGCTCTTAATCCAAAACACGATAAATGTACATATGAACACTTGAGTTCTATTAACTGAAAGAAAACTCCTAAAAGGAAAGTTCTGAGCATTTCCACTGACAGTAACCGTAAGATCAATGAAGTCTCAGCTCAAGCGAATCACTTTACTGCACTTTTGCCCATGAAACCTGACTTAAAAACACATCTGTACACATTCGCAAACTGCAGTGGTCCTCTGAAGCCACTCCAATCCGAGGTTTTCCAGAAGCCTGATTGCACGTTTCTACTCTGCTTCAGCTACAGCGCGTCGGATCCTGCTCGCCATCAAGCCCTTTACGAATTTATTTAGGTATGTTGTGGCGGAATAGAGTAAAAAAATGATTCATGGAAAACTTTGGTTCAAAACACTCAAGATTTAGGCAATAAACCTCTTCTTGATATAAAAAAAAACAATCAAATAAAAAATAAATAAATCAAAAATAAATCAAATCTCCAAGGAGGTTTTGGGGGCTCACTGGAACTGCTCCATACATCTGGAGGCTGGAGAGGAAGTTAAGGGGAGGGATTTTGTGCCCCGGTTTGTTTCATTTCACTCGTAGGGGCTTAGAGGGATTGCAGTCACACAGTGCTGTCCTCCAGCAGAGGCTCAAAGTCCTCGTCGCTGCCCGGCAGCGGAGTGTTGACGTGGGCTCCAGCCAGGCTGCCGCTCCCCTTGCGTTCCTGGCACATCTTTGCAGCCGCCGGCTGGTGCTCAGGGATGAAGAGCGCTACAAGGAACGCCACCAGGACCGTGCACGCACCCAGCAGGAAAGGAGGGCCTGGGACTACCACATGCTGGTAAATAGGATAGATAAGGGAAGTGTTTACAAGCAGTACAAGTTTGGGCACCAAACTATGTGCAGCATGTGCCTCAGGCTACTAACAGCAAAGTCTGAGTGGGCTACCCCCTGGTGATGACTATTACATCAGCTCAGTCAAGAGCAAGAGTTACCACCAACAGTCTGGTCCCAGAAAAGACTACACTTTATTTACTTTAAAACATCTTAGAGAACTGGGAGGAAGTGGAAACTGTTCTAGGAGAAAAGTTTTCCCATTTTAGGGAGGCTTATGTATCAACAGAAACAGTCCAAGCTGGTGTCGAAAGGATACTAACCTCACTGGGGGTCTGAAGAGGGATGCCATAGTCAGCCGGGATTGGTGCAATCCCACTCAGCTCAACGTTGAAGAGAAAGAAGATAAAGCCGTACAGTGCTGGGCCCAGGCCATTACAGAGGCCTCGGATGCCCGTGATCATTCCCTGCACTAGCCCTAAGAGAGGACAGAATGCAAGAGTTAGCTATAGCACACTGCGCTTTCATGTAACGCTACACTACCCAATTTTATATTACATCCGTCTGAGCTCAAATGGCCATGGAAGTGTGACCTCACCTTGTTGATCCGGGTCAGCGCTGCGAGATACGAGTGCACTCACTGCAGGGAAAGTAATGCTGGACATGGCAGCTACGGCTCCAGCTGCCCACATCATCCTAAATGGCACAGACAAAGATGTAAGACACAGATCGGTCACTTCAGGACGCCCTGCACAGCTTCAGCCCCGTCTCAGATCAAGAGAAACCACTGAACACAAGGCTTTCTCCTTCAGCACCATTTCCCCCCACTTGAAAAAGCTGGCTGAGCCATATTGGAACAGTCAATCTGATGACTTATGGAGATCGTATGACTCACCATGGTTCGGACCCAAGGCCATACCACGCGAGCTGGAGGATCTGGAATCCTAGTCCCAAAAGAACCGTGTTCTTGTTCCCAATGGTCCTCATTAGCAGAGTGAGAAACAGTGTCTGCCAAGAGGTCAAGAGCATATTAGAGCGCAGTGCAAACTTACAGTGGTTAGCATTTTAATGTACAGTATAAATATTCTCTCAGTAGATATTACAGCTAGACCAGGACATTATAATGGCAAGAAAGGATTATTTAGCCATTCGCAATGTTATGCTACACTATGTGCTAATATTACAGGAAGAAAAACTCTTTTTAATGCACTGAAAAAGATATGTGGCCAAAAGTATGTGGAGATCTGACCCTCACACCTATATGAGCTTGCTGGACACCCCATTCCAAAACCATAAGCGTTAATACGGAGTTGCCCCCCTTTTGCAGCTATAACAGCCTCCTCTCTTCTGGGAAGACTTTCCACAAAATTTTGGCGCATGTCCGTGAGACTTTGTGCCCATTCAGTCAAAAGAACATTTGTGAGGTCAGGCACTGATATTGGATGAGAGGCCTGGCTCACAACCAATATGCCAAATCATCCCAAAAGTGTTCAGTGAGGTTGAGGTCAAGGCTCTGTGCAGGCCACTGGAGTTCTCACATACCAAACTCATCAATGCGCCTCACTTTATACACAGTGATGCTGGAACATGAAGGGACCTTCCCCAAGTTAGAAGCATGTAATTGTCTAAAATATCTTTGTACACTGTAGCATTAACATTACCCTTCACTGGAACTAAGAAACCTAGCTCTAAACAAGAAAACACTCCCAGACCATTATCCCACCTCCACCAAACTTTACTGTTGGCACTACGCATTCTGCCAAACCCATTTTCATCCATCAAACTGCCATGATTCATCACTCCAGAGAACACATTTCCACTAATTTCACAAACTGACTTGTGGCCACGGTTGCATCCTATGACGATGCCACATTTAAAGCCACTGAGTTCTTCAATACAACCCACTCTAATGCCAAGGCTTGTTCATAGAGATTGCACAGCTATGCTTAATTTTATATATCTCTTAGCAATACATGTAGCTGAAACACCTGAACTCAACACTCAGGAGGGGAGTCCACATACTTTTGGCAACATAATGCATATTAAATACTTGGGCAAAACTGAAAATAAGGCCCACAAATATACAAATGACTAAGAAAATTGGTATTACTTCTGCTGCCATCTAACACTATGAAAAAATGCTGAGTTACACAGACGGAGCCCGTTAATGCTAATGAGTTCCGTTGTGTTGACAACCGAAATCTGTCGCAGAACTCTTATACATTAATCATCAAACTCTTCAGATCCGTTCTTTGTCAGTTTGCTTTATGGCCACTGCCACTGTCACTTCATTTACAGTTCACAGTGTCTTGTATTAGTCAAGAACATTATTCAAATTGCCTTCTTCCACACAGGTTTACTGACTTGCTGACTCACACCAATCCTTGCTCATATACCTTAACTCAGCTCTGACAATCCAAGCTTATATAAATAGTCTCATCTGTTCAATGAGTGCAAGTTTACCTTGTGCAATATTAGGCCATCAGTGAACACTTTAACAGGGCGCAAATCAATTACAACCTCAGCTTATTAAAGAGTAACTTTGTCAGACAATGAAGCAGCTCAAAATCCGTCACACACACATAATATGATCCAGCAGAGAATTTTTTTAATTAAATACCTGGGCCAAGATAGAGAGGATCCCCACCACCCCAATGAACACAGCGATTGTAGTGGGTGAGAAGTTAATGACCTGTGAGATGGAGAAAGAGAAAGAGAGATGGAGAAGAAGGGCTGTATCACTGCTCACAGACGCCGTCTGGAGAGAATCAAATGAGCTGGTTTTGACAAATAATAGCCCAACGCTCAGCTAAATTGAAGCCAGTGGATTCCGCCAACTCTGCTCACATAACATGAGACAAAGCTTTCCCTTACAAGGTTGTTAGCAAATAAACCACAATTCATTTCGGTTCCCTACAACATGGAATGAATTAGAAACTCTGCATGGTTGATTACTGAGAATACATAAAACCAAACATTGACATTTCCATAACTGATTTATGTGACCTGCTAGATATTTGATCCACTACTAGGAAAGTATTTAGAGAAAATTCAGGCAGTAAAATCTAACTGTAAAAATCAACTGACAGTGATTATTCTATATTCAGGTCACACCAAAATTTTACTGTCAGCAAGCATACAGTTTGCTTCACTCTAGCTAATAGTGCTGGGCAACATATCAACTATACTGCTTGATGGTGATTTTCATATTTAGCATTATTTTTAGCAATATATTTGACAGATAATGAGTACCACACCCATATATTGCCAATAAAATAGAACTGTTCCTGTTGCCAAACAGAGTGTTCTCTAATTGTGTCATTTTGTATACTATTCAGGACCTAAAACTGATCATTGTTTATCATTTACTGGGTGCTTCAGATTGAAATATAATGCAATACCATATCATAAATATATTTGAGTTGGGCAGTGTAACTATTTCAAAATGATGATGATATTGCAAAATCAGGATGTGTAAAATTTCCATTCTACATCTGACTGGCTAAATAAATACAAGCTAATCTCTCTAACCTTTTTTACCATACATGCTGCCAGAATGAGGTTTTTGCTTTTCACTTTTGTAAAGAACGTTTAGATTTGCTTAACTCTGCTGCACTGCTAGTCCCATTTTTAATGATTTTTGTTTATAAAAATGAGTTTCTGTGATGAACACATCAATAAGGGCTGACACAGAATGGATCAATTTGCATTACACTTGAGTGTAACAAGAGTGATGTAATTAGACTGGCAGGAATGTGGCGTAAGGAGGCTTGTCTAATTTAGAGCAGTAATATGCTCTCCTGAGTCGAGCTCAAACCACAATGTCCCATTTTTAGACAGAGTGATTTAGCCACTCTGCTACAGAGCCAGTTAGAAAGCACACAGATGCACAGCTACTATCTATGGCTAACCAGCTCTACTCTCCTAGTAGCAGCACTGTTTAACATTAATTGAATGACGTCTTGAAACTTGTGCACTGTATTTACTTATTTGGTGACCATGTAAATGAAGCACTTTTAGATTTTTTTCAGTTTTAAAATAATGCAGGACAAGATGACCAAAGTGTCATAAATGCTTTTGCAATTTGTAATTATGTACGTTTTCTCCTAGTTGTGCTACTAAGAGGTCTGACTGAGAGACTACTATTAGTTTTCTGTATTTTTTTTTTAGTACTGTATCCTTTGGTGTATGCATCTCTTTTTTGTATATTTCCTCTTGTTGATTGTTCATAAAAAGAAATCTATAAAATTGAAAAGAAAAAGAAAAAAAACAGGCTTCGTAAGACTTTTTTTTAACCAAAGAGTAGTCTGGAAGCATGGGTTCATTAACTTTATTAATTCCAACTTAAATATCATCTGATACAGAAATATAGTGATATCTTCAGAAAATATCATAATATTACAAATGTATCAATATCACCTAGCACCAGTAGCAAGCTGACCAAAAATGAGAAAAGAGTAGCAACCTAACAAAACCTTCCACACCACATAGAGAGGCAAGAGACTCACCTGTCTTAAATAGAGGAAGAAGCTGGAGTACTGGCCTGCCTCGGGCAAGTAGGACAGGAACACTGTTATACAGATGAGCAGCACAGTGGTGTCCTTCCCCACCTTCCTCAAAGACTGCAACAAAATTACAAATCAGCACACAGCACCGGGAACGTGTCCAGTATAGTGAAGTAGTCTGTACTGATATGAATTTTTCTCAAATGCTTTTTTTCTCCCCTTACAGCGAATGGATCTGCCTGCTCCCAGGAGATGGGGGCGCCCCAGGTGTTCAGCCTCATCTTGTCTGGCAGAGACTCAGGGACAGCCAACAGTATGAAGCATATATCAGCCAGGGCGATGAGCGTAGCCACCAGCACTACCAAATTATCCCCATAGTTTGCTGACAGGTAAGCCCCAATAGCAGGGCTTGTTACCAAGCTTGCTGCGAATGTGGCTGAGACCTACAGGAAGATTACATGAGAATTAGGGACGATACAACCAAATATAGGCTCATCAAATGCTATAAACAGAAATTAAATGACTAATTAAAGAAAGCAAAGCTATCAAAACAAGACCCAGCTGAAAACTCTGCTCTTTCAGGTCCAGCTAGATAGGTCAGCAAGACTGAATGTGGTCCTTCAAAAGAAGCACAACGTCCGTGAACATAAATATCTTTAAAGAGCATCACCGATCATCCTTCTACTGAGAATGGCCTACTTTTTAAACGCAATCAAGAAAGTCTCTTACTAGGCCATATGCAGTGCTCCTCTCCCGTTCCTCTGTTACGTCCGCTACATATGCAAAGATGACGGAGAAGGTAACGGAGAAGGCCCCCGACACAGAAATCATGGCAAAGTACCACCTGCAGATAAGTCAAAGAACAATAGTTGTTAATTTGTTGTACGTGACAGAAGTCATGAATCATGTATGATAAGGGTGCACAATACATCTGTAGCCAATACATAGGTTACAACTGATAACATTTTTGCTTAAAGGTAAGTATTTCCATTCTTTTTACAAAAAAAAAAAAAAAGGTCACTCAAATGGATGGTATAGGGATAATATTACAAGCTCACACACAGAAGTTCAGAAGTTCAGTTCCCCACCCAGGCAGGAACGCCAGTGCTATACGAGCATGAGTCCTTATTTATAAGAGGCCTAATACTACTCTGACCTATCATTCTACAAGCTTTATTTTATGATTTATTAATGAAATTTCTTGGACAACCTTAAACTACACATTTCAGCGTATGTGTAACTAATGATATCTTGCACCAAACATGAATTCTCAGACAGTGAAAAAAGCAACAGTATTTTACTCTCCCTCTGTTTGATTGTGAAAAACTTTCACTGGTGACATGAACTCACCAACCAATCACAGTCATCTCTGGTGTTGGTATGGCAACAATAAAGATGGATCGGCTGTGTCTCAGCAACTGGAATATATTCATGTCAAAAGGATCAGAATCTCCAAAAGCAGTTGAAACGGGGCTCAAACTGAGCTATGAAGTTATATGTGGAAACACTGAAAGGTGCAGCTTCTGAATGCTGCGATGAAGATCTCTGTGCTATTTTCACTTTTCCAAAATGGAAAATAGCCCAATGTTACCATTTGCCCATTCTGTGAGGAGCAAAGGATATCATACTTGCTCCTGAAGGTATTCTGCTGTTTGTTTTGAGCTTCATCATGTGTGGAGCTGCATCTCCAAAAGCAGCTCAAACTCAGAGGTCAAAGTTTTGGCTTCTGAATGAGGTGGTGAAACTCTATCCTACTTTCGCTAAGCCTTTTCCAATTATTACATAATCGCTTAATCGAATTTATTTGAAACGATCACAACTATTTGAGATGATCAAGTTATTTAAAACGACTGCAATCATTTTCATTTCTATTGTGCTGCAGCAAACAAAATGTGAATTGGGTGCATCGGTTGATGCAAATAAATGCAAATTAACAAAAAGAAGTGAATGCATTCACTGAGACATCATATGAAAGCAAAAAAACATTGTAACCACTAATCTGGCGTTAAGAAGGCACCACTGAGTAGTGTTTATTTCTCAGGTATGTAGCTATTTCTAATCTTTATCAGCATGCATGCTAGGAGAATTATTTTTTTTTGTTTGTTTTGTTTTTACTTTTGTGAAGAACATTTAGCTTTGCTTAACTCTACTGCACTGCTAGTCCCATTTTTATTGTCAATGTGACAAAAATGAGTTTCTGTGGTGAACATATCACTAAGGGCTGCAAGAGAGTGGATCAATCTGCATTACACCTGAGTAATGTAATTAGACTGGCAGGAATGTAGCGTAAAGAGGCTTGTCTAATATTAGAGCGGTAATATGCTCTCCTGAGTCTAGCTTGAAGCACAATGTCCCATTTTTAGACTGAGTGATTTAGCCATTCTGCTATAGAGCCAATTAGAAGGCACACACTGTGCTTTACATGTACGCTTTACAAGTGCTTTACATGCTTTAGTAGTTGTGTATCCTTTGCTTAAAAAAAGAGGTCAGTTATAGCTCTGTTACAGCAAAAAAAAATCTGCACTTGTTGCACGCCTGGGTAAACTTGTTTTTAGTCAAAGTATTTTATTCATAATTCAGCACTTTTCATGTTGTCCTTGCAATATTCAACAACTTAATCCAACATTCAACTGATTTAGCTTCATCATGGCAATGTAAAATTATGATCAATAGTCCATTTTTAAAGAATTTGAACCTGCCCAAAAGAACCAACACAAAAATGGATTACAGCATGAACTTTGTAGTTTAAAACTCAAAAAAGTACAATTATCGGTATCAGTAACAGAAGCAGTAAGATGTTAATTATAGGTTCAGCATTGAAATCCCTTATCAGATCATGCCTAATTTATAACCTCATGACCCATTAAATGAAATGAAGGCAGGACAGGATAATGGTAGAGATGGGCGGATATGCTGAGAGACAAACAGGACAGAGAGCACAAGAAGCATACCAAGGGCTGAGCCTCATCAGAGGGATTGGGGCACAGGTGAAGAACACTGTGACCAACAGGAAAGATCTCCTGCCCCAGACATCTGATAAAGCACCAATTAATGGAGCACTCATGAAAGACAGCAGGCCCTGGTGACACAAATCAGTCTTTCAGCAAAGAGAGCCAATGTAGGTTAAGAGACAGTCACCAAAAATAAATTACACACTTATCTCTCACCTTCACTCCCTGAATGAGGCCGTTCATCAGGAACGTGTGTTGTGGGAACGTTTCATGTAAAACCTAAAAGAAAAAAGAAGACAGTGAGAACTAATCCAGAACACTATAATGTAAGACAGCAACAGATAAAGCAAGAGAGAACAAAGGAGGATGGCGAGACTTACTGTAAGCATTGGAGTCGTAAGTAGTCCCCATGCAAAGAACTCAAGGAAGATGACAACCACGGCATGGTAGACACTGGGTTTCCCGATTCCCTGCTGCATCTGAGACACAGGCACCAATTATTAACATCTGAAGTTGATCTGCCAATGATCATCATCATCATTATTATTATTATTATTATTATTATTATTATTATTACAACCCCAATAAAGTTGGGAGGCTGTGAAAAATGTAAATAAATGCAAATGAACAGAATGCAATGATATGCAAATCTCATAAACCCAAACTTTATTCACAACAGAACATAGTACACATACCAGATGTTCAAGGTGAGACATTTAACCATTTCATGAAAAACATTAACTCATTTAGAACTTAATGGCAGCAACGCATCTCAAAAAAGTTGGGACAGGGGTAACAAAAGGCTGGAAAAGTAAGTGGTACGAATAAAAAAACAGCTGGAGGAGCAATTTGCAACTAACTCACATGACTGGGTATAAAAAGAGCATTTTAGAGAGGCAGAGTCTCTCAGAAGCAAAGATGGGCAGAGGTTCACCAAACTGTCTAAAAATTGTGGAACAATTTCAGAAAAATGTTCAATTAAAAATTGTGAAATTTTGGATATCCCACCATCTACAATACATAATATCATAGAAAGATTCAGAGAATCTGAAGAAATCCCTGTGCTCACGGCACAAGGCTGACGATCAATACTGGATGCTAGTGATTTTCGGGCCCTCAGGCAGCACTGCATTGAAAGCAGGCATGATTCTGTAGTGGAAAAATCACTGCATGGGCTCAGGAACACTTCCAGAAATCACTGTCTGTGAACACAGTTTGAAACGCAATCCACAAATAAGTTAAAGCTGCATTATGCAAAGAAGAAGCCAAATGTCAGCACGATCCAGAAACACCGCCGTCTTCTCTGGGCCAAAGCTCATTTAAAATGGACTGAGGCAAAATGGAAAACTGTTTTGTGGTCAGATAAATCAAAATCTGAAATTCTTTTTAGAAACCACATACGTCGTGTCCTGTGGACGCAAGAGGAGAGGGACCAGCTTGCTATCATGTTATTGATATTCAAAAGTCTGCATCTCTAATGGTACGGGGTTGAATTAGTGCCTATGGCGTGGGCAGCTTACGCAACTGGAAATGCACCATCAATGCTGAACAGTATATAGAGGTTTTAGAACAACATATGCTCCCATCCAGACAGCGGCTCTTTCAGGGAAGGCCCTTGCATATTTCAGCAAGACAACGCTAAACCACATACTGCATCCATCACAACAGCCTGGCTTCGCAGAAGAAGAATCTGGGTGCTGAACTGGCCTGCCTGCAGTCCAGACCTTCACCAATAGAAAACATCTGGTGCATCATGAAATGAAAAATCAAGACCCAGGACTGTTGAGCAGCTAGAATCCTACATCAGACAAGAATGGGACAACATTCCTCTCCCTAAACTCAAGCAACTCATCTCCTCACTTCCCAGGTGTTTACAGACTGTTGTTAAAAGAAGAGGGGATGCTACACAATGGTAGACGTGGCCCTGTCCCAACTTTTTTGAGAAGTGTTGCTGCCATCAAGTTCTAAAATCAGTTAATGTCTTTCATGAAACGGTAAAATGTCTCACTTTCAACATCTGATATGTTTCTATGTTCTATTGTGAATAAAATATGGGTCTATTTATTTACATTTTACATAGCGTCCCAACTTTTTTGGAATTGGGGTTGTATTATTATTATTAGTAGCAGTAGTAGTATTATTAGTATTATAACCTGCTCAAACTTATCAGTTATGAAGCTGTTTTGCTTGTCGAATAATCACTTGTCCTAAGAGAACAGCTCTCACAACTAACAGCTCTCTACACATACAGGACACAAATTCAAAACATTACAATTTACACATGTATTTACCAAAGAGAAAATTTATGAGTCTCTCAACAGCAATAATTTATTCACTTTCAGCAAACAAGATACATAAATCCATGCAATGTGCATGGCTACAAGTTACTTTCAGCCTACCTTCTCCCTATATAAGCTACAAATACATTATTCAAGTCAACCTGTCTTGTGCTTTAATGATAAATGCCGCTTTTCTGCAATCTAGACTCAACAGTTTGGCAAAGAGAAGAAAATGCAGAAAACTGTGAATAAGCAGTCAACAGTTTGGCAAGTGAATTACATAATGGTTGCAGACATCCTACAAAAAGAACCAGATAAGATTTTACATGACGATACTTCCACAGGCATTTTCTTGACAGAAAGCATTCAACCGTTTCAAGACACCACTTGCAGACTTAGATGGTGTTCTTGTTATAAGGGTCAAAACATAAACAGTGCGAGAAATTCAGAGAAAAAATACCATTTTGTTTTATGTGACCGAAAACTGAGCAACACACCTATTTTTCTAAACACGAAACATATTAAATGACAATAAAATGGTTAATAATGAAGATCTACGTTTGGATGAATCAAGCTTATAGCTGGTCACAGCATCTCCCGGTGGGTATTTTTAAACCTCTTTTTGGCACAATGTAGCCTGAGGATGACGTTTCTGCACAACACCGGTTCCCTGAGAAAAGCATATTTTTGTCATTTTTCATCCACTCAGAAAAATGATTCACATCTGCTGGAGTGTGACATTAATTTTAACCTTCAGTATCATATAAATGATTTGTATGCCATGAGAAATTGGTTAAATATGTATGTTGCCCACAAGCAACACTGTGTGACTGTGGAGTGGGTACAGCCACATTGAGTGAAGTTTTGAGAAAATATCTCAGTTACGGCATTGTTTTTCATTTACAACGATTTTTCTCTTATTTAGAATTTTGCATTTTTATTTATTTGGGGAAATATTAATATTTAAAGTATAGACAATATTAGTGGATAGAAACCCAGTCCAGTCATGTAGCTGTCAGCACACAGTATGAATATACCACTGTCATCCATTTTGCTTAGAAAATGAAAGCCTGATTACTTGCAAGAAATCCTGATTACTTGAAAAGCATCTGACTCTTAAGGGTTTTGGCATGGCTTTAAATGTGACTTGCTTTTAAACGACTACTTGGTGTGCAAGAACTCAAAACATTATTTCAAAATGTTGCATCACGGAAACAGCTTTTTTAAAAACAACATGACAACATGGTTTTGGTCTCTCTCTCTCTCTTTTTTAAAGATCAATAAATGGTATTGTTACATTCCAAATTTCAGATACCTAGTTTTCATGACCCTCTGTATTGTTTCCTCCCACTGTCACACAATGTTGCCTCAAGGCAACATAGCCAAAAAGAACTCTAGGACACATTTTCAAAAAATAATGTTTTCAAATTTTCAAATCTTTTTAAATATTTAAATCAATAAAATACATTTTTAAAATTTTTAAATCATGGTTATTCAAGCAAGAAAAGTGTTTCAAATACAGGTGCACAATCAGAATCAACCAAGATCAGGACAATTTTTTTTTTTTACATCAAATTCAGCCAAGTTATTATTTTTACTTTGCAGATCTGTCTTGGCATTTTACATATTTAATGCCAGTTTGGCTTGTTAAACAGTAAATAATGTGATTTATGATACAAAGTTGGCTGACAGAAAGTATCGAAATTAGTGTGCTTCTTGCGTTCATTTAGCCCAAACAGTGTTTTGAGTATTTAAAATAGGGATGGACAATAATAACTGAATCATAACGTTATCGGCAATGGCATAAATCAGACGTTTAAATGTGATCGATATTTAAAACTGATGTTTGATGATGTATTTATCGTAGTCTGTGATAGAACATTTAGGCGATGTTGGGCTACAGCATTAAAACGTCTGCATTTTATCAATTTTACTGCATAGAAATACATTAGAATTTGTACATTTTATTAATGCTTATGAGTCTGCATCGGTAGATATGTACATGAAAAACAATAGATATGGGCATCAGCTCACAGTTGCTATATTGGTGGATCCCCATCGGCCTACAGCCGATTTGGCAGTAAAAGGAATCAGCATTGTGCTCCTCTAGAACAGAAAATGTTTGTAAACACTGCTCTCATAATGTGCAGGTTAACAGTAGCTCAGTCACTGTCATGGACGAAACGTATAGATTAAAATTTTAAAACGAGAGGGAGGGAGGGAGGGCAGAAACACACTCAGGGAGTCACGGGGGGTTACACACACCGGCCTTATGCATGTATGCATGATTTCAGCGGGAGGCTTTATGACAACAGACTGCATTTAACACACTCACCTTGGTGTTGCTATACTTCTGGGGACCTAACACTAACCTTAACCTCAGTAACTAAAAGGCAACGTTCCAGCTCTTTTACTTTTTTCCAAAAGAAAGATACATTTAAGGTGAAAACAGTACATTTTCAGGTAAGGACCAGCAAAATGTCCTCACTTGACAAAGCTGTCATGTTGTCCTATCATCATGAGGACATTCGGTCCTCACAATGTGCCAGAGACAAGACCGTGCACACACGCTCGCAGCTTCATCCGTGTTACGTAACACTGAGCGCCGCTAGGATGCTAATGCTAAAAGGAAAACGCGCACCAAAACAAACGTTAAGACAATCTTAAAAATGTCGCTAAATATCTAAACGAACACTCGTAACAGATAAATGTGCATTAATAACACGGCATGACGCTCGATATGCGGGTACATCTTGTGACATTTGCTGACAAAATGCGGAGCGAAGTTTCAAAATGGTGACTGGAAAAAAAGCTAGCGTTGGCTAGCCAACCGGCTAATGAGCCAACGTTCATTTTACATATTCGGTCTTAGCTTTGTTTCCATTTAATGCCCATTAGCACAAGAAACTAGCTAACTACCTAGCCAAATGATCCTAATTCTGTATAAATTTTAAATGTTAGTGAGTTATTGTCGGTCAGGCTTTGGCTGAATTTTCCCGTTCCACCTTAACCGGTGCTGCATGTACATTCGGACGCCTCAGGTGCCAGAATGTAACTGCCGCACCAGTTAAGGTGGAACGGGAAAATTCGAGCAAGAAGCTGGCGAATAGGACGCCAACTCCAGCCTCGTCACCGCTACACAAACCAGTGATGGAGCTAACAGGCTAAGCAGCTAACTGAGGTTTACATTATCTCTTCAGACCAAAATAACACTCCTAACGTGCCATTCGTGAGGTTAACAGCGTGTTATGTCTTTGCTTACCGGGTTGTCATCGTTCATTATTATTCTTTTGACCAGCACGACGCGATTCGTCTGCTTCGGCTCTTTCCCCGTCTGGGCCATCTCATCACATCTCACAGGAGTCACATAAAACCCGTGCTGAGTGCATATCTTCGGTCCTCCGGCTCCTTCCAGGATGCCTCCCTCGTTTTAGCCTGAACAGGCTGACCGTTTCGCTAATTTGTTTCCACCGGAGGCTCTAAACTGGGAAGATCTGAGGTAGCTAACAGCGGAGGTAACGTTGCAGTCTCCGGTCAGTGGAAACAGCGCCTCCACAGATTGCAGTGAAAGCTGTTCCTGAGTCAGTCGACAGCTGGGAGTCGATTCCAAAAAGAGTCGATTCTCCGATTCCAGGCTTTTAGAAACAGGGAATCGACTCCAAAGCGTCGCACTCGATTCCATACAGATACGTCAACGTTTCAGGCCATCAATCATAATACTGTACTATGCAGTTAATATTTTACTTTTTATTTCAACAGATCTCTTTCTTTATGTTTTGATCTCGAAACTCACTGTGTGGAATCGAGTCTTGAATCGACTCTCATCCTTTGAAATCAGAGTCGGAGGAAACGAACCCCTCTAGACGTCAGAATGCGTGGGAGGCGTTATTTTATTCTCCTGCGTACTTTCCGACTAGCCACGCCTGCGGCGCCATGATTGGCTAATAGCTCACCCTCATAAGCAGCTCGCCATTTTCAGCCAATCATCACGTAGTCTACGTCACATCATTAGCCAATCCTAGCGCAGGAGGCGGGGTGTTTCGGAAAAGACGTGGGAGAAAATAAGGCGCGCTGGAAGTAACGGTTGCGGGAAGAGAGATTTCAGTTCCTCTTTTATTTCATCAATAAAGATAAAGACAGAAAAAATAAAAGAATAAAAATAAAGTAAACAATAACAGAATAAGTACAATATCTAATAAAAGTGGAAGTAAATATAGTCTTGCTCGTAGGTTTACGTCCCCCTGGCTGAATTTATAAGATATTTACCTTGTTTGAAACAATATGAGTGATCATAGACCTGTAGTCGTGCGTCATTCTGTAGTCCGCGTTATGCCCATATTAGGAACTGCGGATCTAAACTCCTTTTCTCTACTGCCAGAATGAATGGCAGAATGATATTTGAGAGAAGAATATTCACAGGACAAAATGTATCAGCTTTGGAACATTTCTGATTATCGCAGGAAGCAACAGAGGCCATTTTCAAAAACTCTATTCATTCTTCTCATAGAGAAATTCCTTTTAGACCAGGTGTTCCTTATATGGGCATTATAGCGTGGCACCCACTACAAAATGATGGCGCGACTCAGTGGTCTATACCAAACACATTTCTTTTATGCAGTAATGGCAAACAGATGAAGCTATTCATCGTCAGAGAAATGTGCATATATTAAACATAATTAGTGATTGCACATTGTAAAGCAATGCACAATGCTATTGTTTTTGAATTTATATTCTTCGTCTTCTTCTTCTTCTTCTTCCGCCAGATTTTTGTCCACTAACTTGTCCCACAGTTTTTGAGATATTAACACTGTTTTAACATCGGAATGTTCAGTCTGACCGGGAATGGCGTGTTTGTATACAGCTTTTTGATCGGACATGCATTTTTCATACAATCATCATTAATTAACACATTTTTCCAATAGGAATAAATGGGGGGCAAAATTTGTGCACCCAGCTTATGTCATAATGATCCCATAATGAGTCCATTAGAAACACTCAGTCAACCATGTGACATATCATAGCAACCACCAGCAACCACCTAGCAACCCTCCAGGCAACCACCTGGGATATGGTTGCAATAACCTAACAACATCCTAGCAAGCACCTGGAATATCATAGCAACCACCTAGCAACTCCCTAGCAACTGCCTGGCCCACCATAGCAACCACCTGACATCACCCTAGCAACAACGTGGGATACCATAGCAACCGTCTAGCAACATCCTAGAAACCACTGGAGGTACCATAGCAACCATTTAGGATACCACAGCAACAACCTAGCAACACCCTACCAACCATCTAGGACACCACAGCAACTGCTGGGAATACTATAGCAACTGCCTACCAACACCTTAGCAACAGCTGGGAATATCATAGCAAACACATAGCAACACCTTAGCATCTACTTGAGATACCATAGCAACCGCCTAGCAGCATCTTAGCAAGATTAATCTGTACAATCAGTCTGCAGTTTCTTCTGGAAATGCACTTTTCTAGTTATTACTGACCTCACACAGCTGGAAATTTGTCCAATTTCTACCAAGAAGAGTGGGCAGCTTTGCCACATGAAAACATGAAAGCACTCATTCACATCTATTACAAAAGCCTGCAAGCTGTCATTCATGCTCAAGGGGGCAACAAATATTAAGAACCAAGAGTATGTAAACTTCTGACTGTGTACTCTCAGCTGTTATTATGATCACTATAACACAGGCAGATTTCTCTGATGATAAATAGCTTCAGCTGAGCAATATTATTAATTAAAACAAATGTGTTTTGCTGTATGATCTTTCTAAATTTTCTAAAAATGCCAAATGTCTTACAAATATAGCCAGGGGTATGAATACTTATGAACAGAAATGCATTTTCAAATGTACATATTCATTTCCATTGCATTTCTTAAATGTACCTGTTTATTCTGACATTTTCATATCATTATTCATTATATAATTATTTCTATCATTATTCATGATAGAAAGACTGACAAGCAAGTTTATATTGATAGCTCATTCACTGGCCTATTGGATTATTGTTATTATTAAGTACCATCAAGTTGATTCCAGCTCTTGGTGACCGTATGGATAGTGTTTATCCAGAATATCCTGTCTTCTGTTTGAGTCTTCAGGCTTCTGAATGGCTGGTTCATGATTCTTCTGATTGTCTCCATTCATCTTGTAGCTCATTCTAATCCTCTTTTACCTTCAGCTGTTCTGAGCATAATGGTCTTTTCCAATGAGTCTGTTCTTCTCAGAATATGTCCAAAATAAGAGCTTCAGTTTGGTTATCTGGGCTACAAGTGAGAGGTGAGGCTTGATTTGGTCAAGGATCCATTCATTTGTTTTCTTTGCTGTCTAAGGTACTCTCAAAAGTGTTTGCCAGCACCAAAGTTCTTGCTTGTTTATTGTCCAGCTTTCACATCCATAAAGAACCACAGCCTAGACAGTTCTGATATTTGTCTAAAGAGACAAAGTGTTGCATATGAAGATCTTTTCATGCCCCTTCTTTGTTCTTCCCTTGTTTGGCCAAGTGCCATATTCCTTGAGAGCTGGATCAACAAAAGCTGTCCACCATTTCCACATCTTCTCCATCAATGGTAAAGTTAGTCATCTTAGTCTTCTTCATCTTAAGCTGAAGAACCATCTTTTACTCTGTTCTTTAACCTTCCTTATAAGGGCTTTCAGATCTACCTCCAGCTTCTCTCATTATGGCCCAATCCCATTTCTTATTTTTACTCCTACCCCTTGTTTTTGAGTGTCACCTTATCCCCTGGAACTGAGTTACAAGGGGTAGTGGTTGAAATCGTCCCCAATGAAATGGAACCCTTAAATAAAGATGAACATTATTTAATTGACAGGCTACTAGCGCTGCTCTGTAGGCGACTCTGCCAGTCTGCAGTGATAGCAGAGGAGGGTAAAGTTCAGCAACCTCACTGCTGGGCTTAAGGGCATCATATGCTTTCAAAGAGGGGGTATGCAATAATTATTTATTATTGCCCACCCCTAATTCTTCACTGATATGAAGTGGAAGTCAGCTATTTGCCAGCTTCTTGTTCGAATTTTCCCATTTCACCTTAAATGGAGCAGCAGTTACATTCTGGTGCTTCAGACGTCAGAACTGCTGGACTATTTAAGGTGGAATGGGAAATTAAGCTAGCTAGCTACTGAGACATTAGCACACTATTAGCAATTTTTCGTGCTTGTTATGAAGAAAAGAACCATAATACATTGAAACGACATTAAACTAACAGTGGTTATAGTAATTTTGAACATAGAAAATATTCACATTTGTGGGTTTCTTTGGTCGCTTGCGCAGCCTTCTTGCCAGTTATTCTTTTTTTCTTGTAACACACTGTTTGGAGTGTGCCTCTGAAAAACCTCTGTTTGGAGGGCCATATAGCCCTAACACTTTCCCTACCCCTCCATCTCAACAAAAGTCGGGACACCCTACTCCTAGGCGTAAACATGCAAAACGGAGGGGTAAGGGCTAAGTGGAGGAGCAAGGGGTAAAATGGGATTGGGCCTATATGTTCTGCAAACAGGTTGAACAGGTATGGTGATAGTAGGCACCCTTGCCAATGTGGAACCAATCCGTTTGTCCATTTTATGTCATGTGGCTTGTTGATTAGTATTGAGATTCGTCATTAGAATGATAAGATGCCCTAGTGTTCCCACTTTCTTAAGGACATTCCATAAATTTATCTGGTCAACTTCACCACTTTGCTGTAGTCAATGAAGTTCATGTTGACTTCCTTCTCGATACTACGAATATTAATATAATTAAAGGTAAGGACTTTGTTATTAATTCATATTAAATTCACATTAAGTCAGGATGATTATCATCATCACTGACTCATCATTCATCAATGTGACTTTGACTGAAATGATCTTGACTGTGGCTCATTATGGGGCAGCAGAACTTTGTCTCAGTGAGCTTGTTTCATTGAACATACCTGCATGAGGTGAGCAGAAAAGTCTGTTTACAGTTGCTAGGCAACAAGCGTCCTCATCTTACAGGCACACCAAAGATCTATGAATGAATTTACTCCTATGGGCCAGCAGCACGTCTGGGATATGGTGCATTCCTGACTTGTCTGCTACTATTTTACCCACATTTTAAAACAGCACAGGTAGCTAAAAAGGAAAGGACAAGGTTCAAGGAATTCATTCAGTGCCTGAAATGGCCCTTGCAAGTGGACACTGGGTTGAAAAGGAGATTGGAGGAGTGCCACCCAGCCCGAGGTGAGTAACTGCCTTCTGCATAAGGTGTAAAGAGGTAATTACTCGTATAACTTATGTGCCGTTAAAAGGAAATTCTATTGAGATGTAAACAAAGTAATTAGCAGTTTGATGTGAAATGGAATGATAAAGATGTTTAGTGACATATTTCTTTACAGTGGTGGTGGTAGAAACCAGAGATTATGATATCGACATCGCAAATATAGCCATTTTATTTACCATCCAGAATGACCAGTGAACTTACACGTGTCTTCTAAGTTTTATATGTAATGTTGATGATGGTAAAATAGTGGTAAATCTGAAAAAATACATTTTCTATTTTTCCTTACAATGCCCTGAT